CCCCTCCCCCACTCCCCCGTCCTTCCCACTCCCTCCTCATTATATGTTCCTGCACACCTTTCCATAGCCGCCTATCAACATGACATTCCCGTCTACACCGACATTCCAATTTCTGACAGCTCATAATTACTGCTGCCTTCTACGTGCTTGCTCGTGTTACTCTCCCCTGTGGGGCAAATTGTCTCTGCTACCGCATGGTTTTTTCTGACGGCTTCATACATGCCACCATCAGTGGCTGTACCTTAAAACCCCTTTGTCGTTCAAGCATTCTCCTTAACTGCAAAACTAAAGGTATCATTTACATGATAACTTGTAAGATTTGTCACATGCAAAATTTGCGAGTGGGCTCCCCGGCCAAGTGCCACCATAGCACCACGGTATTAATCCTCAAGCATGTCTAGGCCCCGCGCACGAGCGTCTCAATTTTTTGGCGGGAAAATCGCTAACTTGGGAACCAGAAAAGCTAGAAAGCTGGAATTTTGGGATTATGTTCCCCGTCCACATAGAATTCAAAAATTTTGAATTCAGCCCCCAGGCATGCGCGTTTCCTGCGTACGGCCCCGTATAAGTTCCTGGCGCGAAAATCGCTAGCTATGGAACCAAGGAAGCTAGGAGCTGAAACTTTCAGCGAATGTTCCCAGTTCATCTAAAACTTCAATTTATCAAATTCAGCCCCCTGTTATGCGTGGTTGCAACGTACGGCCGCGTGAAATTTTCTGGTTGGAATTTGGATAACTCGGGAACTGAGAAAGCTGGGAACTGGAATTTCAAGGGAATGTTTCCTAGCGCGGATAATTAACTTCCCGAAATTCGAGGACCAGTATGTACAAGAGGTTTCCAGCTAGTGGAATTTCGAGTGATCTTATTACAGCACGAAACACTGTAAAAACGCATGATCGCACTGGCCCGTCCAGTGCGCGTCATCAATGATTTCCCTTTGAATGTACGTTTTCAAGCCTTCCTTTATTCAGTCAAGTGGAGCCCAGTTGCTTCTGCTTCTAACTGTCTAGTACAGATCATTATCAAAGACTGCGGTTAAACGAATATCATTGCGAAATTATGAATCGATCAATTCTGCAACTCTTAATACTAGGTTTTTTACAAAAAACGTGAGAAACACGCTCCAAGACGGATGGTTTGATTTCCAGCACGGCTTAAGCAATAGATGGGGAAAATACAGTGGTAATCATGTCAGTGTACAAAGCTTTATTAAGAGGTTCTCGAACACACTAGGTGCAGTAACACAGAATGGTTCAATCGATCAACCTTTGAACAAACATTTTCAAACGAGCAATTTCCAGAGCATAGCAGCGCCTCAGTCACTCAGTTTTCTTTTCCGGCTTTTCCGGCTGAAATTAACTGCAGTTTTTATCTTTCACTTCCTATCGGGGATATATGACTGTGCTTTGCAAAAAGAACTGAACAGCATGGTTTGAGTATTCAAATGTCGCTATTTTATTAGAGTAGTGTGATGATAATTTTTAAATGGAAAGTATCCTCATTTTTGATACTTTCACAGAAGAGAATACTTCAATTGCAATATTATCGTATTTTATTACTGAGACTTCGATAGTAAAACAAGAATGTAATGACAAATTTTGGAACTATTTCCTTTTAAAAAAAAATGCCGAAAATTTGATGTCTTCTCCGAACAACAGAGAGTCCATGCTTTCCGGTGGTTACAGAGGCGAGAATATTACTGCCGCGCAGTGGGCCAAGGCTTCTCCGCCGATAACCCCTCTAAGTTTCGCTCATTCGAATCGATGGCAAATTGGTACCAGCATATGCCAAAGTGTCAAACCCTACCTAACTTTATTTGCAAGCAACTCTCGGAGGAAACCACCGATAAACTTGTAAGCGGGCAATTGCTAAAACTCGGCTCGGCTTGCTTCGGTCGTTACTCTCTAACATCCTCGCTATCGCTATTTCGCGTGAGCCTCGGCAATGCCGCTTTGCATTTTGGCAGGTGTGCCGGGTGGCGATATCCGACGTTCCGTTGTTGGATCGCGTGTGTTGGGAAAGTGGTGGGCGGGAGAAAGGGGTGAGGGGAGCACGTGGATGTGGGAGGTGTTGGTTGGTAAGTGCCCCGATACCGCTCAGGCAGCACGAGCTGGAGATAGGATAGAGGAACGGAACAAGCTTATTTATGAAGCTGTGTACGAAGCTAATGCTTAAGTAAAGCTCAGAAATCTCAGCTTCGCCTAAGTATTGGGTATTCGATCTTTCAGCTTTACTTAGGCATCAGTTTCATGAACCTGGAAGCCCTTTGCTAATAACAGGTTTTCGGTTTGCTTAAAGCTTCCGTATTTATGAAGCTAATGTTTATTTAGGCAACTACAAAAACTCGGCTCGGCTGGTGGACTATGGTGCTTGGTCCTTTCAGCGCTTTACTCTGTCATCTCTGCCGACACTATTTTGCGGCGCCGCTCGCTGGAACTTTGCCAGGCATGCTGGGTAGAACTGCCCAGTGTCTGGCGGCTGGACCACGTGGCCGGAGGGGGGCGGTGGGCGGGAGAATTGGACGTGGTTGGGGGTGTTGGTTGGTAGTTGCCTAGCAACCAACATTTTCAGAGAGCGCGAGTAAGGTTAGGATAATTGATACAGCTCAGAGGGCGCGATTGAGGCCAGGATAATTGATACAGCTAAGAGGGCGCGATTGAGGCCAGGATAATTGGGAGGGATGAAGCTGCTGGTTAGGAGTTCAGG